AGAAATGCTAAACACTGTGCCACCATGCCACCCTGGTAACATTATAACAACACACATTTGTAAAATAGTTAAAAGAAACAACAAGAGCAGTCTCAACAATTACATTTCACATAATTATGAAATAGGAGAAATACTGTAATAGTGTTGACAGAAGTATTCTTTCACCAAAAATGAGCAAGGAATTCCCCAAAGCCCAACACAACATCAAACTGTACTAAGCAGCCCATCCAAAGCAGGGCTACTTCAAACCTCAACGACAGCAGATTCTAGTTTGGAGACAAATGGAGCCTGCAACTAGAGATAAAAGCTGAGTGCGCTACAGTCACTCCTTGTGAGAGGGTTTAAAACAACCAGCAGATTTGAACACATTTCTCCAGGGGCACAGCAGCTAGGCAGCAATCCACATTAAGATGGAGAGCATGGTTCAAATCCTGGCACATTACACCTGAAGGAAAAAATCAGCTATACTCTCAATCCAATACAACAGGTAGCATTTGTGCAGATGCAAACTATACAGATTACCTTGGGATTTAACCCAATGCTCTATGATGCATACAGAACCTAGCGTGATCTACGACCTGCATATACTGTACATGTCAAAGTACAGCTGAAATGGACAGGAAACAAAAAGCCAGTGCTACCTATTGCTCTCGATTAAAAAGCTCATATTCTGAAATGGGATCTATATATTAATGGAAAACAAGTGAAATCCAATCTGTATGGATACATTTTATATAAGCAAAGCTATAACGTCACATTACACCTGCTTATATGTTTACCTCTGGGCGGTGGTCATGATTGCATCAACAACTTCAATGATTCTGTGGAGGGCAGAGTCTGTTCCTATTGTCATATCGGTGCCACAGAAGTCATTGTCAATGGATCCAACCATCCCGACAATGTGCAGGGCAGAGTACTTCTGAGCAGCCTCCTCATCAATTAGAGCTGTTTCAGATGAAAAAAACAGGGAAGAATGCATCACAAATTGGGCAATGCAATGGTTGAGCAAGGAACTATTTTTCCTGTCTCAAAATACAAAGCACTCCATGCCACTTTACTTCCCCTTTTCTATATACTGCATCGTCACTCCACTGTGTAAAGCAGTGGTTTACAGACAAGATGGAGATCTTTGCCATAACTGCATCCCCAAAAGGCTGCCCCCAGTCACCTGACCAGCTGCTAGAGACAATTTGTCAGATGATAATTTATACAATTCTCAAAGTGATGAAACATACACTTCCAAGGTCCAAGGTCAGTTTAATCTGCTCTCTAGGGATAGAAGACAGATCCTCTGTGTGCAAATGGACTGTGCGAGAAGAAAGTGACCAACCAAGTCACTGTGGAAGCTACAGAAAACCATGAGTTTCAAGTCTCAGAGAAGGACTGTGAAAGAATTT